ATATATAAGCATGATGGAGTAATGCATATAATTTATCTATATATCCACATAAAAAATTAAAATCACAAGACACAAAAAACTTATCACTTCCTCTATTTCCAGTCAAATCACTCAATTATTTATTAAAGAACATAACATATTTTCTACACTAGACACGTATTTGATGGATTTTTCATGTATGCTATACATGAAAAATCTAATATACATTTGGCTCTTGCAAGTCCATCAATGCAATTCTATTTGGACAAACTTTTATAGTTTAAAGCCTCTATCTTTTACAGTTAAAGCACGTCGCAAAACCGCACACACAAAGAAATCATTACATGATGCCTGTTGCGTCATTGTGACTTCTGTGCATATATTTGATAAACTTTATAAAAACTGTCTAGGTTGACCTAGATAAATGCGAACGTTTCACGCTGGAGTCAGGGACTTTCACTACACGGCCTTTTTCACTGTAATGCCGACAGAGCAAAAGATGACTGAATAACAGATGTTAGCCTACGAGTACATTTTAGTACATAACCATATAGGAAAGAGGCGTGATGCTAGAGAAGTTAAGCACAACGAAGTGAAGTAAACGGAGCAGAGGTTGCTCCTTTTTGAATTTTGTTTCGGCCACCAACTAATTCTCTGTAGCTATACCATCAGATTGAATAATACGCCAAATTTTCAGAACTGCTGAACCCCGCCCACGATATTTTATTGAATGAACTCACCATCTCGGAGCACAGCTGGTGTCGCAGGTGTGACTGGCACCAGCAATGTATTTTCCGCGTAATTATCAAAGGGAAAGTCTGGACCAGCCGCGGACAATAATGGATTTTTCATTTTCCGCGACATATCGTTCATGTTCACTGCGATGTCGAGGCAAACACAGTTTGCAATGGCACTGACATTAGAGGGTATTTACCCTTTATAATAAAACAAGCACGTAAACTAGGTTTTTTAAAATTCTACGAAATACAAACTTGCACGAATTATCCACGTAAGCACATGTGCCTGTCGCAGCAATTTGACAGTGAGTACGTTGCGCTTTATGGAATGTAACTTTCTCGAGATATCGTCGACATAGGAAGTTTCTTCGTCCCCAATTTTATATTGGTACTTTGACTTGAACATACATCAAAAATGGCGCTAAAATCAGCGATATTTAAAACAAAAGAAAAGTAATATAGTATATTATCAATTTAATACTACTGAAAATAAATTATCAAACAATAAACATAAATAATTTTAAAAATATTTAATATTGCTTTAATCAAATTTGATATTAATAATAATAATAATAATAATAATTTTTAGTTACTTGCAAAGTGGAATAAGTTTATTTTACAATTATCTTCTACCTACTTACGCATTAAATAAATCCATTTTTTACTGATCATTTCAAACGTTAATTTTATTTACAGGAATTATCTGAAAACTTAGTGAATAATTTATTTTTTTTTTTTACCTATATCTTTCCATATTATGATTATATTATTAGCTTCTTATTTATTTATTTATTATTTTTATTTACGTACAATTTTATTATTTAAATAAGTTTTATTCACTTGCACATTGTTTTTTTTTCTATTAATGAATTTTCGCGCTTTGCAATATTACGATTTAGATTCACTCATGACTTTACTGATTATTCTTTATATTATAGAAGAAAGAGATATAATTGAAGAAAACAAGTTATTTTTAATTACTATGTAATGTGTTTACACAAGAGTAAATAAAATGTATATGTAAATGTAATTAATACAAAAAATATGCTATGTTTTAATTAATATTTACACTTACTCTTCAATTTTCAGAACTCAACGATCCCTATTATGACGTCATAATAACTCATCATTCCTTATTTTCACGGTAATGTAATATATTAAAATATAATATAATATATTAAAAATATGTAACTCAAATATTGTAAATATTATTAAAAAGTTACATAATCATTTATAAAATTACAATATTTTTACTGCAAAACTTATGTAATTGCTAATCGATAAATATATTAGTATAAAATATAATACTAAAAATTGTTTTTAAAAAATAACATCTATAAATAATTTAACATTTTTCATCGATTATACATATTTATAACTAAAATTGTCCAAAGAATGTGTCAAAAATAAAGTAAACGTAATAGAATTGAACTAAATAGATATATGAATTTATCAATCATTGGTAATTACAATCTCTGTTTCATCGGCAGTTAGTCTTGAAGAAAACTTCAAGTATCTTGAGAAATATAATTTTATTCACAATTTTTCGTTTATGATAATGTTAATTTCAGTCTTCTTATTAAAAAGAAAATATTAAAATTAAAAATTTCTATTTTTTGCAAATCTAGAATTAATAAATTATATACAGACACTTAAATAAATTATAATATCTTTTAAAAAAACTATTATATATAATAATTATATGATACTTTAAAATGATTTTTTTCCATAAAAGTAATAAAGTTTGTATATAATAAAAAATGTATTGAGATAAATAACTATTCTGATTATATATATTATATTATTATACTAATGTATGTGATATTATTTGAAAAAATTATACTTATTATATATTTGCAAGAAAGTGATTATATTGTATTATTATTATAATTATATTTATTATACTAATTGTACTTATTATACTATGTTATTTGAAACATTTTGTATAACTATAAAATATTTTATATTTTTAACTACGTAAGAAGCATGCGAAAATGCAGCATAACTCATATACGAAGAATTTTTAATAGTTGCAATCTTATACTTCTATCTAATATATTCGATAATATGTCAAAATGTTAGTTATGTCTCTATTGTATAGGTCCTCATTAATTGAGAATTATTTTAATCAACGTGCTTTGACTTCCGTAGACTGATATCGCGAAAGATTAAACACCGGAATCCGATTTCCGATTTAATCCTTTTTGGCAAGAGCTTACGCAAAGATGAAGGCATTAAAACTTCAAAGCGTGGCGTAATTAGCAGCATGTGATACAAATACTAAAGATTTGCCCCTTATATGCCAAGCGAAACTTTAACCCTTTATGCATGCCCTCCCTAATAATCCGAGTTTATCAACAGGTTAATCTTTGATCACCTTAAGAATGATTTGCATAGAAAATACAGTATGTAAATTTATTTATTATTCTTTAAAGCAGTTTATAAAACACATTTTTGAAATAATTTGTCATTACTTTTATGCATATTAATTTTATTTTGAAATAATTAATTAATGATGTGTATAAAAAATTTTATAGATATTAATAAAAGACATTAACATGTACATCATATTAAATTGAAATATTTTTAAATTAAATTTGTATTGTCTTATAAAAAATAAATACCTCAAATAATTTTTTTCTCGATCCAAAAATTAAATTATTAGAAATATCGAGGAATTTAAACTTATTTATACGCTATTATGTATTTACGTTGTAGAATAAATTATCACACAATGCATTGGAAAAAATTTACTAAATTTTAATAAATATTTCTTTAAATAGTATTAACTAAATATTTACTAAATGTAAACATGTAATTATTTGATACAAAAACCATTAATTTGATTTAAATATTCTTTTTCATTTAATAAATATTTATTTACTATAAGTAAATGTTTAGTTAATACTATTTAAAAAATATTTATTAAAATTTAGTAAATTTTTTTTAGTGCATTGATAACTTTTATTTAAGATAATATAACTTATCATGACAGTATATTAATAATAAAACTACTCTGCAAACTTTTATAGACACATAGTTTATACGTCAATCAGCTTATATGCTAACCATGAAATTACGATCTGCATGGGGTTGGGAAAAAAATAATATTCCTTGATCCCCCATGTCGTTGATCGCAGATGACATTGCTAAATATCACTCGATCGTGCATCCTTGTCCGCTAATCTATCTAATCTGCCCCAAAATGAAATAGTTGCGATTCTTTCGATGGCACCCTTTAGATGCATGTTAGCGGGAGAAAACACTTGACCCGACTAGGAAGGGCGGCCTCTGAAGTGGTTTACAACAGGGGGATTATATTTGGGACAAAGTGACTGTCAGGGTACGATCATCGTCTCTCTAACTGGTCGTGTTAACGTATCTCTCACAAGCCTTTAAAAATTGATTTTTTAAGTTCTTTATCTGTAGTTTTTTGAAATAGTTTTTTTCAAAGTTATTTTTCATTTATTACAATTATTAACAATAATGTAAAATTAAATTCTAAACATCATACGTCAATCTCTTTAAAATAAGATCTAACCAAGTACTATCCATTATCATTCTATGAGGTACATAAAAGTGCCAGCTACCTTTTAACGAGAATTCTCCATAAAAATTTTATGAAAAAAATTTCCTTTCTTATATGTACATTAATTTAATGCAAACTATTAAACATTATCTAAAAATTTACGATCTCATAATTACAAATGTTCCTATGCTTCATCTAGTACATAATCACAAAGTATACATTTCTCCATCTCAAAGTATTCGCTTCATAAGTAGCTAAATTCCATCAGATTCTTCGGTGAACATATAAATCTGAAAATATCAGATATTACGTATATACATAGACATGTATGTGCAACGACATTTCACGAATATATCACATGCTTGCGCGAACAATACGAGTCGCAGCATTCTCCCTTTTTTCGCTTTTTTGACTCACCTACGCATCTCCACGCCCCCCACGTTCCTCTGGGTATCCAGGCAGAACGAGGGTGGCGTAGAAAGCAACGGGGATAGGGTGCTGACTTTTATTACTCCGTCTGATGTTATGAATGCGACCTGTACGCAGCCCCTCGAGCGTACGTTTCCCTTCCGTCGTACGTCCTGCATAACGGTTATGCTTTTTACGGCATGTATATTCGTGGTCATGATTAGTGACAGATACGAACGCTCGTGTACACAACCCCCATTTAGTCAAATACTCCCGAATCTCGATTATTTGCCGCAAGGATATGAATTATACATACATGCATGTTTGCATTTACTGTGACATATTACGATTGAAAGAAACTTGTCCATAATTTTAATAAGAATTTTTAATCAGATTGTTATTCCATTAGACTTGTTTACCTAAATAATATAGAATTTTTACTATCTCCTTTAATTTAAAACATTTTATATTTTCGATTTCAATATTCTTCTTTTCATAATCTGATATTATTGTGAAAAGAGAAAATTGAAAATAGTGTAAAATCAAATTTATTATAATATTTTGAGTGTAACAATATACTTCTTGTGGCATTTAGAACGTAATATTAAAAAAATATGGATATATTATTCATTTATAATCAATTAGCCAATAAATAAACGGTAGACAGTTAAATCATATCATTTTTTGTATCATTTTTTGAGGAATTTCGATGGTACGTTTTAATTCCCATAAAAGCTGAATAAAATCACAAGCACCACTTTAGTTATACATGTATAAAAACATTTATCTTTATCCTCTTCAATACATATACTTAAATTAATATGTTTATAGATACAAATAATCATGACATATTTGTACCTAAAATTATTTAACAACTTTATTATCATTTGGCATATAATTATATATGATATTATTTAATGAAACTTGTAATTTATCAAGTATTTGTATGATTGAACTATTCTCGCACAACGTATGATTGACACTTTAGGATGTAATTTTATTTTAAAATACGAATAAATTAATTGTGATTAGGTATAGAATGTTTGAAATATTCATGATTTCAAGACCATTTATATCCAGTGTTAATTTCAACACTTGAACAAAATTATTAAGAAACAAACTGTCATTGTTGAGACTCATCATATAAATACGAGAATGATTGTTGAATGTTATAATATCGATAATGATTGAAAAAATGCAGGTACAGCTAGTGGTAGACACGGCTAATCGTTATGACAATATTTGCATGCCTCGCCCCTTAATAACGCGAACATCGCTCATGCTACTGGTCGATGCGAGACACCCGCATCTGAGAAGAATATTGCAATCAGTTGTAACTAGTCATTTCGTTGAGTAATAAATTAAACTCGACCACTCATTGTCGTGTCCGCAACGTTAATTGGAT